GCGATTTTCACACACATAGACTCGATTCGACTCAAATCAAAAAGGAACTAGAAGATCTTTGAAGAATTTGATCATTAAGTAAGGTATAATCCATTCTTTGCACTTGTTCTTGGTTGACATTCTTGTTATATGGATTGCATGTTGAGATAGAGTTAGGGTTTCATATGGGTTTGATCTTAATTGTATAAATGAGTGCATTTTAGTGTTTATGACAAGAAATGGTCATTAGATTCAAGAGATTATCAAGATTTATGCAAGTTCATCATATGAACTTTGACTTGATTAAGTCAATGATTTGGGAGATAATATAAATAATAAAATAAAGGTTGGATTTTGATTGTTTATGTCAAATATGTTATATTAAGTTGAGATTCAGAAGTTGGAATAGTTTGGAATCGAAATGGTTTGAGAAAAGAGAATGAAAATGAGAATTCCGACTTAAGAATGCATTGAAAGTGTGCAGACTTTGAAAATCTGTATAAAATCTTAGAAAAATCCAATTGAGGTGAGGCCAATTTCCTTAGTTAGATAACTGAGTCTAGTTTATTTCTTATTTTATGATCAAGGCATGAATYCGAGCTTAAAATGGGCAAAACAATTCTGCATGCAGCAGCTGTACATAGAAATTTAAGTAAAGTGTTCAAATAGGATATGTGTATATCATGGGTTTCTTATATTGGTTGCTTATGAGATTTTGTGCATTTACTCCAGGGGGTAATTAGGACATATTTTGATGCTTTGGAAGCAATCTAAGTGTGGTAGATTGGACTTGCTTTGTGAGCTCAATTTAGAGCTTTTCGGTATTATACGGTTGCCCGATGAGTTATATAGTTAATTGTTACATATTGATTTGAACATATATATTTTCATATGAATGTTTTTGGTCTTGAATGGAGTCACACGATCTTGATTTGTCTTTGATTCCATCTCTTGAGTCGATTCCTTATTACTATCTCGGTACATCGGTTTGCTTTCTGGATCCAGACTCGTTGTTTTGTTCCTTGAATTGTACGCCATAGTACAGGTACTACTTCGTGTGGTACGTCAAAATTTTATGGCGAAGTCAAGATCCAGGGTTGAACGAGTGAGACTTTCTACGGTTGTGAATACTCATTGCTCGAAGAGGAGGAAAAGCAATGAGTAGGGAACCTTGGCACATACCCGGTAGAGGAAGGCGGGCAGTGCGAGGTTTCCCGTAATGTATGATTCTGACTCGGACTTTGGCATGAGCCCGGGAGGTGAAGGACGGGGTGATGCACTGTCTTCGTTATGT